GGTGGTGCACCAGGAGGCTACGTTGCTGTACCCATGGCCGGTGGTCTACGATACATCCATCCGTACCCACCGACGCCAACGTCGGCGTCGGTGCCAGCCGTAGCCACGGTGGTCACTTCAGCCTCGTCGGCATCAACTCCTCTACCGGTGGCAGCGCCCGTTGCTGCGACAGCGCCAGCGAATCCACCCACAGTTAGTCAAACGCCACCACCATCGCTTTCGGGAACTGCTTATGCCGCGAGAGATGTATATCGCAGCGCCACCACGAATGTAGGTATTTCACTGTTGAAATCGGCCGTGATTCGATACCAACAATCATATGATAAATGCTGCGTCCTGTCTTGTCGACCATCTAACACGAGATTCACGGATAAAATTGGATAAAAAATAGGTGGATGGAAATAGAATTGTAGAACATTTTCGGATAACAATTACCAACAGTTCGGTTTTCGATTGCTTTACCTTTATGAAAAAAAGAATGTACCAAGTTTCTCTTGTTTCCATTCTTGATTTTTCTGTTCTGTTAACCCTTTCGTATCTTACGCAAAAGTTGCAATCTTTAAGTTTTAGATACGAAAACGACTTCTTGGTTTTAGACGTACATCATTATAGTGAACGAATTGTTGCATCGGATGATATCAGTTGTCATTTATTTGTAAGCTATTAAACGTGTATCGTTTGACTGCAAGATAATGATGATAAATCTGATGTCTGAGGTAAATATTAAAGAGAATGTAAAGTAAACGTCAGATTTAGCGCCAATCGACGCGCGAAAAGCGTACGACGGTGTTTTAGGTACATTGATAACGCACCGTGTGTCTTCTTGAACCGGGTCATCGATTTTCTTGAAATAGGTTCACGTGGAGAAGGTTAGGCAAGATAAATTGAATGAAATGCGCGAGGGGATAAAGAGTGTATAAGACGATCGAAAGAAAGCGTATAGAATCGTAAGCAAGTATGGATTCTAACCGTAGCATTTTTCAGGTGAACGAGAGGATCGCCATCAGCGTGAGCAGCAGCCCTCTGTCGCAGATTGGAGTCGGTGTTGGCGTGGTTACGGCCGAATATGCGACGAATAGCGGTATGGGTAGTGGCATGGCTGGTGGTAGAGGGGATAGACCGAGGATATCTCTTCTACCGCCTGTATCGGTGACGCCGACAGCTTCACCGACGGCACCTTCAGACTATCAGCACGTGACCAGTGCCAGAAATTCACGAATAGGCCTCATGCCCGTCCAACCAGATCAGTATTGCAGTCGTACGGCCGTTGAGATAGCCAATCTGCAAGAGGCACCGCCCTTCAAAAAAATACGTTTGGCCCAACCAACGCAAGTTCAGTTACAGTCCCAATCGCAATCTCGCTGTCAGAGCCTATCACCCGCTGACCCCTGCGGTAAACAAGAGCACGTGGTACAGTTGCAGCAACCACTCAGGATAGACACTAGGGTGGGTATTTGCAAATATATACGGGTGTCCTTCAAAATTTGTGCTTAGCGAGCTTAATAGAACAGGTATACGTATAGGATAACGTAAGACACTATGACAAATTAACATTTCACGATTGTGCAAAGAATTTTCGTTTGAATTTAGTTTTCATTTCAATTCAATTGTGAACGTTTATTAAACATCAAAAACCTTGAATTTAAAGGTTAAGGCAAAGTAAGACGCGCGTACTAAAACTTAGGTTCTAGTACATTTGTCGCATTAATATGGTCCTATTAGATTCGTCGTCACTATTATGTCGTTACATTTAAGTGTATTTTTAATCAAACACGCTATTATATGAGCAATTTATGCTAGGAGCAGCCCGCTGCGTATACGCCGCAAACAGAAGCGATTTCACCGACGCTTCCAGAACCGAGCACACAGGAGGACGCGCAATTCAGGAGTACGAAGGATGATCTTTTGCAGCAGATCGCCAAAGTTGATAGAGAGATTGCGAAAAGAGAGTCTCAAATAAATAAGCTTCGGAAAAAGTTGAAAGAATTGGAAGAGGCAGCGAACAAACCTCTAGAAGCCAGTGGTCTTAAACGGCAGGTTGAGGAACAATCGCAGCAACCAAAGCATCAATCTCTGGCGCAGAAAATTTATGCTGAGAATAGGGTAAGATCTCGAGCAAAGAAATTCGTGTATACTTTTTAAAACTTCGAAGCGTGCAATCAGAAATTTCAAATGTAATTTGTATTGCAGAGGAAGGCTGAAGAAGCTCATAGACTCCTAGAGAGGTTGGGTCCAAAAGTGGAGCTACCTTTGTACAATCAACCGTCGGATACAAGTGTGTATCAAGAAAATCGTACGAAGCATCAAACTTGTATGAGAGCTAGGTTTATAGCGAGGCTTCGACGGGAACACGCCGAACGAGCGTCTCTTCACCGACAACAGTCTCGAACATACGCCATTTTGGTGCAGGAGTGGCATCGTAAAATAGAACGATTAGAGGCAACGCAAAAGAGGAAATCGAAGGAAGCAAAAAATCGCGAGTTCTTCGAAAAAGTCTTTCCTGAGTTACGAAAACAAAGGGAAGACAAGGAGCGTTTTAATAGAGTTGGTTCTCGTATCAAAAGCGAAGCTGATCTAGAGGAAATTATGGACGGCCTTCAAGAACAGGAGGTATTTCATGCAGTTTGACCCTGTGTAAACTATTTGTACAAGGGATTATTCTGATAATGCTTTCCCTGTGATTGTATTTTTAGATGGAAGATAAGAAAATGCGGTCGTACGCAGTGATACCTCCGTTATTATTGGATGCAAAACAAAGACGAATCGCGTTTCAGAATCGAAACGGTCTGCTTCAGCCAGAAGAATTAGAGGCTCTTCACAGCGAACGGAAGTTGATCAACGTTTGGAGTTCTGTGGAGCACGAATTGTTTAAAGAAAAATATTTACAACATCCTAAGAACTTTGGAACGATAGCTCAATCTTTAGAACATAAGTCCGTTCCAGATTGCGTGCATCATTACTACCTCACTAAAAAAGCAGAAAATTATAAGCAGCTATTACGAAAGTCACGGCAACGACCACGTAGCTCTCGGAACAATCCTAATAATAAAGTAAGTTCCATTGAATTTCCATTCCGCTATTATGAATTGTGCTCTTGAGAGTGTATAGTTTGTCATGTGTATCTCAATTTGTTTCAGGTAAATAATACCACTTCAAGTATTGGACCCATAGACATTTTAACTACGGGTGTTACGACGAGGCTGCAACGTGAGCAGCAACAGAAGACACAAGAAAATCCACAGAATAATTCGGCGGTAGCGTCGACTACCACGACGACTACCACCACAACAACTGCAACGAACGTATCAGCGGTCGTTACGTCTACCATAGCGACTACTTCAGCGACTTCTTTGAGTTTAGCAACGTCGAATACATGTTTAACGACAGAATCCGTGATAACATCAACAGCGGCAGCAACGACATCGATATTGAGTACCACAACGTCGTGTGTTACTTCGTCGATTACACCTAGTGCGAAGGATACCAGGGAAACTAACAAGGAAAATAAAGAAATTAAAATAGAACCCAAGGAGTCTAATCTTATCAAAGTCGAGATCAAGGAGGAGCCGCAGTTGAGTGCTGAAGCGATGACAGGAAAAGATGTGAAAGTAATGTATGTACATTTTCTTTTTATAAACATTTCTATTTATATAACTTAAAAATATTTATCAGTGTGCATCCACATATTTAGGTTATGTGCGCAATGTCGGTATTAAATTTTATTTTAAGACTAACAAGTAATTCATCTTTACAATTATTAACACTTTTAATCAGTGATATGTATTTTATTCTTTAGTTACTAATATATCAACCATTTCTTTTTATCGTTATGTAGTATATATCGCATAAATTATCATGTATTTTTCTGATGCTTTAAAGTAAGTTGAAATGCGACATTCTTTATGGAAATGATAGTTGCATACAGGGTATACGAGTATTTACAACAATAATACTTATGCGATTATAAATGTTCAATTTTTATATTCAGAATATGAAAAACATTGCTTCTCCAATTAAAAAAACAAGAATTTTACAATTTCTAAGAATGTAATCTTCAGAAACTTTCAGTTCATAACGTTTGCTATTTTGGAGCAAGTAATGTTTGCCTCTAACATTTTTTCCTATCATCGAAAAGAAGTGATGTATTGAAAGTATTCGAATTAGATGAAACTTCGAATTTATTCCTTTAAATTTACTATAGTGTAAAAACTTTTGTTTTTTTTTGTATCAAACGATTTTGAAGTGAGGGTCAGAACCTCAGAGGCGGTTTGCTTAATGACTTAAATATAAACACTGAGCAGAAGATATTGTTAGAACATACTATTCACATGTGTGTGACGCATCTTTTAGTCTGCAGTAAAAAATTAATATTTATAATAAAACATTTAATGAAAGGAATTGATTTAAAGTAAGGCACGTATTATACGTAAGCTGCTTTCAAAATATCCACGTTCTGTTATCTTTTCTTTTAATCGAGGGGGAATGTTCTCAGAACAATTTTGAATCGCTTATCTTAACAGTCGGAAGTATTTTCACTACAATCAATACCTTAAATAGAAAGATATGGATAACTTGAGTTATTATTATCAATACTCTTACTCGTGCTTGTCTCGTGTTTCACGATTACTGCACACTTTCTACATGTATAGTATGTTTCTATAGAATATATTGCACAGATTAAAATAAGATCTTCAGCAACCGTTTTCTTCGATTCAACGATATTTTGCTTTCCTCTTTTTCTACCTAATAATGTTTTCATCATTTATCACTTGTTATGGGTTTCTAGTCTTTTGCATACGAACCTAATTGTCTTCTTGTATCTTCAAAAACTCCCTAAATTCAATGAAAGTGTGGGTACAATACAATGAAAATGTCGATCAATAAAATGGGAAAAGCTTTCTGAATATAAAGACCTAAATGGACCATAATATTTCTATGTCAACTTCAGTGATATAATTCTTGAGAAACTTATTACGATCACCGTGAGTCTTCAGTGTATTTTGAAAAAATAATAAAGTGTGCATAATCCATCATTCCAGTTATTTATTTTATGCTGCTTCTTTATGATGTAAAATATTTTTGCATAATAACATGAAAATATTCTAAATACGTAAATTAATGTTGATAAGGTTCTATTTTCCGTAAATCGATTCACGAATATCTGAAGTTTCATAAATATCCGCAGCCTGATAAGTACTTTGAACATTGTACATTATTCAAAGATTATACACGCGTTTGCATATATCTGAATGTTGAATGTTGATCGTCTGAATGATTACTAAACCCCTCGTTAAATATTACCAATTTTTATTGAACGAAAAAATTTATAAGCATTGTTTAACCTTAGAACTACCGATCATTTATTAGGGCTGACATGTAATTTTAATGAAGATTGTAACAATACATTTTTTTAACGATTTCTTTAGGTATTCGTTACAATGTTTCGGTGAATCTATTTTCAACATCATTTCGAATATTGAACAGTTTTGAAATATCAATAATCGCAAAATAAGAAAACCAGAACCCGTGATTTTGACGAGTACGTAGTTCTAGTGTTAAGTAACATCGACATAACAGTATCGACGATTCAAACTGTTCTTGAAAAAGGAAGCAATTGATGGAAGTACAGAGGGGTGGTTGGTGGATTGGCGGGGAAAATGGGTGGATGAGAGCGGAACGTGGTGGTGACTGAGGGAAGGCAGGGTGGTTATTAGCAGATTGTAATGCTAATCAATGGTTGCTGGTTAGTGGATTATGTTTACGTAGGCATTCATCATCGAAATTGAGTTGATCGTTGAAAATCTGATCCCCGGGTTTGTATGAAAACCGGAAGGAACGGTCGCTCTTCCCTTCGGAAACGATTAATTGAAATTGAAATGGAATATTAATTTTCCGTTGAACGTCGTCCGATACTTTTTAACGTGGAAACGATGAAGTCAGTCCATTTAAACAATTGTAAATTGCACTCGCATCGATGCGTTTCTTCGTGAAGCTTCCGTTACATGTATACATTCTTCCAATCTTTGAAATTTGTTTGTCAGGTTTTGTAGTGCAATATCAAGGTTCATTTATGTATATTTGTCTCTTTTACTGATTTTTTTATTAACCTTTTGTTAATTTTAGTATTTAGCGCGGTATAAAATAATATACAACGAAATCTTGTTCATTTGTTTTATAGCGTTGAAAGCTTGAAAAAATGTATATTATAAGTAATTTACGACACTTTACGCATTTATAATTTATAAAAATTTTGAAGGGAGAACAGAATAGAATTTTGAATGCAACTTCATTTTTCTCCTTTAACCAATTAAGACTGATAATTCCGGACATGAAATTCCAGTTTACCTCGGGCTCTGAATAATTGACTGCAAATATGGGAATTTATATAGACGTCTGTGACCTAATTATAAAAGATTTTTCAGATATAATATTTTATAGCAATCAAGAATGTAACAACGATGATTGAATAGTATAAATATGCAGTGGAACCTTAAATATCCGAATAGATTGAGTGTCTACATTCCAGAGAAATGAACGTTTAAGAAGAAATTCTTTGAAATATGTTTGTAAAGTTCGGTTGTATATATTTCGGGGTACAATTTAAGAATTCGAATTAGCGACACTATTGTTTCTAGAAAAATTGATGTTCAACCACATAGATCTTAGAAATTGGAAGTTTAAAAATAGACCAGTAGGGCACATATTCATATAATTGCATCAATTAAAATCGACATATACATTTACCAAATAATGTTTATAAAATCCAACAAGTGTCAAATTGATGTTAAGTACTAATTAAGTATCAACTTAACGAAAACTCTGGACATCTTACATCGTAGAAACTAGCGACTCGGTTAATCGGGGTTCTACTGTAATATTATTGACTCAATGTTTATGAGTAATATATGCTTATAGCACGGTTAATATACGAAATCTGTGAATTCTTCTTTCATTTTATACTATTATAGTATTACATAGTACTATATATTATAATATATAGAAATTTTAAAATGTAATTTGCATATTCATTAAAAGTATTTCATTTGTCGAGAATCGATACACTTCGAATCGCCATAAATTAATTAATAATAAATATAAAAATGGTAAAATTAATAGCGAGTATTATAAGCGAACGAGTCACAAGAAATTGTTTTGGAAAGTGAGTTTCGACCCGCAAACATTTAGAAACCACTGTTATAATATATGAAACTTACACGCGGGTTGCTGCAAAAGATTCGGTAAAAAATGAGAACAGTCATAAATAAGCTTGAACTAATGATTGCATTATTTTTCAAAATATTCTCCTAATCAGAAGAATGCGAAGCTTTACGAAAACAACGTAAATCCCCGTGTTGAAAGATCCTTGGAACTTTTGCAGCAATCTACGTAATAGATGCATTTGATAATCGTTAGGTAATCACTAGACAATTGTAAAGCAAGATTCGAATTTTATAATGTAATCGCGATTTTCTTCACGATAAAGTAGCTTAAAGTCTTCGATTTATTGGATTGTTACAGAATCGACGGGAAGAACACTCTATCGTCGTCGACGTCGTCGTTGGGTGTGAACGCGGCGAACGTGGCGAACACAACAAATGCGACGAACGCGACGAACGCAACGAATACGCCGAACGCGACAAACGCGACGGCGATACACCTGGATTTCAAAGATTCGAATAAAAAGAAGCCGGTTGGCAAAGAGGCGAACACCAGTGCCGTGACCGGCGTGGCCGGCGTGGGAGCTGCGAGCAGGTTAAAGGAGAAAAAGAAGGATAATCACGCCACGCCTATGGAGACCAGCGACGAAGAGGCCCAGTCGATGGACGCAATCGGTAAGTTTTATTCGAGACCAAGTATTTCGCTAGTTAGCACCCTCTTCTACCTCGACATTGATGCACAGAGTTCGTGAATTTCGTTTCACGAGTAAATTATCGTATTAGTGGAATATTATATGTAATTAGCAGCACGGTAAATTATCTTCGTTTCCTTTAATAGATTCGTAAAATTAAGTACTTAAAAGAGAAGTTGGAATTTTCTTTTTCGAGCAACATTAATCCCTTACCATATGATTTGTTTCTTAGACATGATCGATATGATTACTTTGTCATTAATAATTTATTTAAAAAAGAGGAAATTTTTGAACATATTACATACTTACGTTTACGCTGAAGTATAATAATTGATAACAGGAGAATACTATTTAATTTGAATTGAACAGTATTGGGTAATATACTTGTTAAATTCTGTTTGAAATCTTTACCACATGTCTGACACGTCGTTATGAGCCAAAGGGTTAAGGTTCAACAAAGTGGAACGAAATGTAGGGAGTACAAGATCACATTGATTAATTTTCTGTTAAGGCATTTACCTTTTGGTATTCTGTGTATTGGTTGTAAATGCACAAAGTATGTAAATTCGATATTTTTGGACCATGACGGAGCGGTACGATGTAATTAACATGGAGCAACAAGAAGTTTTACGCATATTTAATTATTTTTTTTTAATTACTGTATGAAATGTGTATTTTTGTAAGCGTCTCTATTGTAGTTGTACGATAAATCTCTATTATTACGCTTATGTTCTCCTAATGTTTTGCGTTGCCCAGTTTCTTATGCATTACGTCTAATTAGGTTAAAGTATAAATTGAACATTATACATTTCAATGCTCGGTAAGCATTCTATATATACTTTTATACGTATTTGTCCTTTATTATACTTATAACCAATTATTATTAAAAACATGTACTTGACGGATTCTAACTTCTAAATTTCTGGATGTCTTAATTCGTGGAGTCAAACAGGGTTTATTATAAATGAAGATCGCTGCAGTATGACTTTCTGTAGTTACGCCTTAATTACGTCGATCCAGAGAATGCAATTCTGATTCGACGGATATTTATAAAATTTCTAAAATGAATTTATGATACTTAAAATCTGCGTTAAATTTGATTTACGTTAGCACATTTTAGTTGATACAGAGAGGAAGCAGATTTCAATGGAGTTATATGAGGAAAACAAATAATCTCCGAGATAAAAGTTGACGAAGTTTTGATAATAACTTAATTGTGCAATGTGTATAGTCGGTCGTAAAAATTCAAATGCCGTTAAAGAACAAGAAAAGGATGTAGTACGTATGCGAAGATGTGTTTAATAGCAGTTAACTAAAAAATGTGCAAATTGTTTGTTTGTTATATACAATTATTTAAATGGTAAAAAATAAGCGAAAGCATAACGACTTTTTCAGTTACAAAAATATAATATAGATTATATTGTATAAATTAATTTTATAATTATTGTTATTGTAAGTTAAAATAACAGATTTTAATAACAAAGGTTTGATTGAATAATTTTCAATTAAAAATTAATATATCATGGATTGTTTTCTTTTTTATACGATATATTTCTAACAAATTGACAGTACAGAAGTAATTTTTTTTGGTAGTCAGTGTTAATATGCTATTACTTTTCTATATACCTTGTAATTAATTATTCATTTAATCTTATAACAGGTTTTCAAATTTTATTTTATGAATTCGTTCCATATGTTTTGAATGGAATTGAAGTTAATCATAGATATTCATTTTTATTGTTTCTATAAAATCTGTATTGTAGCATAACGTAATGCACTCTTCTTTGTCCTTCATGTATTTATTTAAAAGGCAAAATGTGAGATTATATTTTATACACCAGTGTCTGAACATTTTTTGTTACTGACTATACGCATACACACGGTATTTACCTATGGCTCTGTCATTCCTTATCATATAATCCGATGATTAAGGTACAAACGACAATTAACGAGATAGAACTTGTCAAGCAGTATCATTCGAAAATATATCCCACTGAAGTGCATTAAATGGATATGAAATGAACTTCTTAATCTAAACGAGCAAGTTTTGCATAAAGTGTACATAATGTGTTAATCTTATTCAGTTTTCAGCACTCATTAATTCGAAACGTTTAAATTATAACTCGTTGATATAAGTAACAAGTGTCGCAATAGTAAGTTCAACGATAACACATGTCGTGGTCGTCGTTACTTCGACTGTGACATGCAATTATTGCATGTCTATTAGCTTCAGTGTGTTCAGCATAACAGGTATGAACATTTGTAATTTGTTCCATTTATCATTAATTATCTTGGGACGATTTTTAACTTAAACCGTTTTATCCAGATATTTCGTACGATTGTTTTTAAACTTCAGTAGTATGGTAAATGATATTAATATTAATTTTGTTATATGATTTATCGTTTTTTTCCTATCATTCAGTGCGACTGCAATATTAATGTATTGTTATTATTGCTGTGATACGACGAGCAATTTAATAATTATTATTGTGGTTTCTGTTCTTCTTAATATCGGTGTGCCTCATGCATCATGCAATATCTAATAGAATATACAAAATTAAGTAAATTAATGAGATATTAAGATACGTCAATTAAATTAATGAATAGGAAATAACAGGAAAATTTAGTGACAGGGTTGTGTGGGAAAATTTGTATTTACAACTGAATTGACTTGTTACTTGTATTGGCAATTCATAATTTAAACGTTTCAAATTAATAAGATTTGAAACATGAGTATCACTAAAACGTTATTTATGAACGTCATACATTTCCGACGTCTTCGACCTCATATTTTAAATAAAGAAAGTCAAATTAATTTTATTCTCGTCGTTATTAAGAATTATATTGATATGAATGATACTGAAGAAATCAATGACCATTTTTTCGTCATATTATTTTAATATCTTTGAAGTAGATACATTGCATTTAATAAAGTATTATAATTACAAAGAATAGCAGCAAACTTTATTTTGCCATGTGCTCACATACCATCAAGCTTCATTAGTTTTCTTTCTATCTTATTTCTTGAGGCTTATTATATTTATTTATGTTTAGGAACTATGACTAAACTGGTTTCTTGTAAATTAATATCAATATCGATATCAAGCAATATGCAAGTGTACAACTAGATTGTTTAGGGTGCAAAAAGAATAGAACAACGTGACTTTGGTCATCAAAAGAAAAATGCAAATAATACAAAGATAGTAAACTAAAGTTCGACGCAAAAGATCTTCGTTTTTTCCAGTGTCCAGTTTCAGGCATGGTTATACTGCCACGTTTCCGTCTTTAGCAGATATCCATTAACCTCCTATCATTGATTATCTCTGAACGCAGTAACCGTTAGATCTTCTACACTCTATACATCAGATTTACTTGAGCCGTTGCACTTTAGAGGAAGCGTGTGACGAATAATGTTCTTTTTTTGGATCGTATTTTACCGTGCAACTTGATTCGATGCATAAGAAAATATGCGTGAAATCGTTATGATCTTTCAACTTAAGTGATTTGATGATAAGGTTAACACCTTAACACGTTGGCGAACGGTTTGAATTTACGAAAAATTGATGTTCATTCATTTACATCTTGGAAGTTAAGGATTAAAAAATAGACTATTAAAATTCGTTATTTTATTACGACTAATAGACATAGTTATTTGCATAATTGGATCAATCAAAACAATATACGGCAAGTTAACGCGTTCCATGAACCTAGTGTTAATTGCAGTGTTCGTCAGATGAAATTGTTCAAGAGCCTTGTGATGTATTTTACATGTGGATACCAAAAATTTATTAATATGACAAAAAAATACTGCATTAGCAGTATTATTTCATAGTTTTTATTATTTTTATTAAGAGAATCAGCTATTGCAATGTACTACATGTACAGTGGTGAGCCAACAGAGCAAAGCAAAAATAGTGCATACGCAGTAGCCGTACGTGACGTGTTAATCAGGGATTGAAAATAGTTATGATATCGGTTTCGGTTCTTGAAACAGTTATGAAAGACCAAAATAAAATTATAATTATTATTCGGTAGTTCGGTTCTATAATTGTTATTTTTCATTATGTCAATTATTAGTTACACGTATTATATAATATAATTATATTCTTTAAAGAAATATAGTTTCACTTATTATATTCCAGAGATTAAAAAATTCGCATGTATTTGATAAAACGAAGGAAAAGTAACTAACACAATGAGTCTGAAAAGATTGAATTCGTTTCATACAATAGCAATAGAAGGATTTGTCTGTTAGCATACTTCACATTTTTCACTTTTTAAATGTGTTTCAAATCTGTAGTCTTCAAACCAGACAGTTATATTCTAATAACATTGAAATCTCGTTTCACCTATTGTTTGTTAACGAACAAAATTAAAATATTTTAATGGATTAAAAAAGATTGAGTATTTATTGGTCAGTGGAAATTTTTACGATGCAAAACAATTTTGAAAATTGTCGATATATTCGTCGGTGTGCATTTGTAACGAAATTTTTTCTAATCCCTTTATCCAATAAATCGAAAAAAATGTAATATTTTCACATTTGGAATGGGCCACAGAACAATTTTCTTTTATTGTAAGTAATGTTTCAGTGAATCTATAAACTAATGTTCAAACAATTGTATGATGATTTCGTACACATTCAGGAATTTACTATTTTAAAGGTGTACCTTTTTCGTCACGTGTTTCGGACTATACTTTCATATTTTAATATTCAATGTGGAAAATACCGTTTTTTGCGTGTTCCATTCTATTTTTACCTGAATATATTTTCAAAAGACCCTTTAATTTTGTACTAAATTGTGAACCTATTTTTTTGTATTGATTGTCAGGAATAGTCTTTTTTAATATTATGTAAAGCAGTACAATCAATATACTGCAAAAGAAAAAAAATGACGTTAAATGGAAAGTTCTTTCTAACACATTATACCGCGAAATTTTAGTTTCCTATCGGGACTATTGAAAATAATTTTTATCCGTTTATTATATCGAACAAGAAATATGCTATTGTCATTTGAACTCTAAGTGTACAAGTATACGAATAGCTTTTTCTGTTACTCAGTTTCTCAACCACACCTAATTAAATCAAAGAAATATGATACTGTTATCGTGTTTCAATGTCGAGTTTACAAAATTGACTGATAGTACTTGGCGTTATGTTGTAGTTCATTGTCATCGAACATATTGACCCACTACTATCCTACATTTCTACTCTAAGCGTTAAAAGGATCGTGAAGGTAACACGTTCATATAGGCAGGCGTCGACACTTTTTATGACTATACTTTAATTAATTCGGTTTTACAATGTTCTCATTATATTATGCAAGTCATCGTGACCTAACTTCAACGATGCAACGTGGCGCTCGAAACACTTGGTAGAGATAAATGTTAACCAGTCGAGGTCTCGATCTTCCATAGTTGGAATCCCTGAAACAAAAACTAGTATTCAGTTAGCTTCCATTTTCTTCACATAGCAATTAGATAACTTGAATGTCTCTTGAGATTTGCCCAAAAGCTATTTGTCACTCAGCAAAATTCTAGACAAAGATTAAAACAGGTTTCTAGTCTCAGGCAAATAAGTTCTCCACGAGTCTCTCATCTCAGGGAATCGAAAAATGAAACAAAAGTAGAAAACATATGAAGATTCTATCCTAACGTTCATCAATTAGTAAACTATCTTTCATCCACAAGCAACAGAATATCAATGTTCCCAAATTAGCTTCTTACCTTCCCTAATCGACTTTCACTGTTTTTCATCAACGGTCGCAGACGCGTTGTTCGATTCCTGATCCGCCGCAGCTCTCCCCATGTCCTCAGTCTGTGGTCTGTCTTCCACGTTTGCGTGGCACAGCTTCCGGTGTTTGTGGACGAAGTAGTAGCTAGGGAACTTGCATCCGCAGATCTTGCACGGGTAGTACTGAACGTTCAAATCTAGCAACCTGACTTCCCTGCGATTCCTGGGGACCTCTTGTCTCTGCCTGTTGCCGGCAGCTGATTCGTTCAGCCTGGTAGGCAGCAAGTGTCTCTTGGTGTGCTTGCGGTAGCAGTACTGAGACTTGAAGGTGTGCCTGCAATATCCGCAGGTATAGCTACCGCCAGTGTTGCCAGGCTCAGTGTCGATTGCGATCGAGTCGCAAGTGTTCCCAGCCGGTCCTCCATTTTCGTCGTTTTCTCCTGCCACGTTTTCAGCCTCGAAACACCTCTGCAGCCGTGCCTGGGTAATAGGGCTCGACCCACAGGGTGCCGAGCTCGAATAGTTCTCATTGAGCACCCGGTGGAACTTGATCGGCCCGTCGCAGCACGCGACGTCGTACACGACTGATAGAACCCCGCTCGAAGATTCGGTCCCTGTGTTCGATCCTGGACGTTTTTTCTTAGACGATTTCCCCCGATCGGTCTCCGTAGAGGTCGTTTCGTTGGGTCTCTCGCGATTGCGGGTTAAATTGGCTTCGTCCACGGATATTAGCGGCGAGCTGCGTTTCTGTTGTTGATTCTTCTTTGAGTTCGATTGATCCTCACCTCGGTCTTCCTTTGACTGCCTTTGATCCGATGATTCCGAGGACTTCTTGCTTCGGTTCGATGGTATAGAGGATTGAGACTCCGAGGACGGCGCCGGTGAGATTGATCGGGACGGCGACGTCGGTCTCGTTGAGCTGGAACACGCGAACGCGGTGAACGCTGCTGTGGCTGCGTTAACGGCGAATGATCTCGTCAAGATTTCCGGAGACTTCTGTCTCCTTTCCCTTGATGACCCTCTACTTCTGTCGATCTGGAACGGTGTTTGCTTCGGCGAGGGGATATCGCTGTTACAGAAAAACATTGAGCTTTGCGTCGTTGACTGACTTTTTTTCTGAGGCCTCGTACGCACTTGGAAATTTTGTTTCCGCGGTTCTCCAGGTTGTTTTGGTTGTCGTTGTTCTTGCTTCGTGACCATTTTCAAATTTTAATTGATGATTTTTTAATCGTTTCTGTAGCTTCATTTGGATAACAGGCTTTGCGTATTTCCTTTGGACTGTTTATCAGTCATTATATTGAATTGAATATTGACAAAAGTTCCAACTGCGTACTTGGTTCACCGAAGGGTATTACACAAAATGAAATGAAGTTTTGAATTCTTCATTGCTTGATCGTTGATTTCCGTTTCTAAGATTCTTCACATACCGACTGTTTTAAAAAATTGAAAAATGATGAATCGGTTTTGTATGTATAATTGTAAGTAGTTGAGTAACATTCACAAACTGACACGTAGCGATAGAGTTTCATTGAAAGACTAATTAACGAGACAAATGTTTCTCCAGAGAATGGGTCGAGCTATAACTCCATTATAATCAATGATCTATTAGCGGATATTATACGATATTAAATTTCACTTTACGAAAAGATTAGCGAAAAGATGTATTAATGGTAGAAATGATTGAACACTATGTTACACACTTGAACACTGAAAGAACGCGTGAAGACATGAAATCTATACACGAAAAGAGCTTTAAATGAATTTCGTACATATTCATATCACTTTGAACTCATTAATGAATACAGAACATACTATTCATGACATAATCGCTGATCAATGGCAATACTATGAAAACGTTTCTTTTGAAAACATTGAAATTCATTAAACGATATTATTCACAGCAACAAAAAGTATCAATCCGTTTGATGCGTCACATCCTTGCAGCACAGGTGTCCTAATGCTCACTTTCGAAACTTCAATCGTTTCCCATGTCACTCAATTTCCACGACTCTCAAAGATCACTCGGAACAATAGAGGTCCACGTGTCTCCACGAAACGAACGAAAACTTCGTTTACTTCTCATTCCCGAGGATGGCACGGAAGAATCAGAGACGTCGATAAATCCAATGTCAAGTATTAGAGCCGTCGCGCATTTAATAACCTCGCAGTCTAACGGCACCAAGTCAACGTTAGTCTTTCGACTTTCTTATACACAGTTCAAATGGTTATACGTTTATTCAGCACCACCAACGCAGCATTAGCATGCATCAACAGCGAATGAAGACGTTCCCATTTGACATATAATATAGCCAAAAGACAGACGTTGACCTAGTACCGTTTAGCTGCAGCATTAACTTTTTGTCCTGTGATTAGAATAACTTTTCCTCAATAATTTACCAAAAACCAACGTAGAACACCCAATTCATCAGTATCCACGTTCAGTACAGAACATAGTACTAATAATACAGAAATATTATTGAATTTGTACCCAAAATAATTGACATTTACTTCTTGTAACTTACGCCTGAGAATTGCCTCAAGAGTCTAGTTCGATATCGTATGGTAAGGGGTTAAACGTGCGATGGCTCTGAATGACCGTGGAAAGGTTCAAACCTATATCGCGTGGACGTTTCCTGGCCGGCGGAAGTCGGGACAATGGAAACGTTGAGCGGAACCGGTGACTGCATCATCACCGAGGGTTGTAGTCGCGGTAGATGGGGCAGGCCGATGGACGCGGGGGCCGGCGGCGCGGCCGGCGGCGGGTAAAGCGGCGCGGTCGGCCAGCACATGCTCGGCTCTATTATCAGCCTGTTGGGTATCGGTCTGAGGATGCTGCCGGCAGCCGTCGAAGTGGACATTGAGATTGACGTAGACGTAAGGGTCGAGGTCGGGGCCACTGGCACTGGGACCGGCACCGGGACCGGTATCGGCGTAGGCAGGGGCGGCGGAGCTCTCAGCCGAAGCAGAGCCGCCCGGCACTGCTCAAGAGCTCCGGGCATGTGCAACAAATGCGTGGCCAGCAGCACGCTGTAAACGTTGTCCAGCGTCACCTCCAGCCGTCCCGTATACATGTAGTTCAACAAGGGCGCGAACGCTTCTCCGCCTGTAAGTCACCATTCAACAGAGCTAGCTACTCTTGTTGGCTCCTTTTTGGTTCTCTTCGAACGAGATACGACGCGGTGCCTGGGTCTGTTTCCACGGATCTCGAAGGTCTTCGTCATCAGACCTATCCATGGGTTCTTTTATTCTTTGATTAAGAATAGTGGAGTGCTTCGTGTAGTTTTCCCTTGGTGTCCTCTGGCTGATCTAATGAGATTTCGTAGGGTTCTTTGGATCTTTGACGGTGATGAATAATTTTCGGGTGGCATTGTGTTTAATAGTTATTTCTTGATAGGACACTGAATCCTTGTAGGACAGTTTAGTGGATATTCTGGAATTTTAAGAGTAGTGTTGTAATTTAGTGTTTGGAGAGTAGGTCTGATGAGAATATCTTCGTGCTCCGAGGAAGATGGGTATCCAGGTATCGCTGCGTACGTGGAACACAAGGTTTCAACCACTCCGTTCCCGGTTCTTCGAATCGAACAATTAGCCAACAAGAGAACACGGCTTAACCCTCTCGCTACTAGATGCAATTGTAATCAGCTACCGCTAACTGAATATACGAATATATTAATATTCAAATACCGATCTCAGGTAACTATCAGGATCAATAAAGAAATTTGTAAAACACATCTAAAAATGAAGTTATATAATTGTCCTTTTAGATTGTTATCGATTAAAAAATGTACACAACACAAGATTTAAAAGTATCTTATTCACTCAAAAACGGCAATAATGGCACTTGCTTAGATAAGCTAATTTCAATGGCTTCACTTTTACACCGGCTCGCAAAGAGACAGCTCGAACCAGAAACATAAATCTGCTTCCCCAATAAAGCAAATGGCATCCATTGGCAGTAATGTTTAAAAAAGTATTCCCATCGAAAAACAAGAAAATCTATCAGCGTAGAAAGCGTCAGGACTTCAGGGGTAACTTCAAAGTGTCATAGCGAGAGGGTGGAAGTCGAGTGCTCGATTATTTACCGATGGACGAGACCGAGACCGAGGTGACCGGTCGCGGAGACTGTCCCGAAAGGCTGGTCGCGGTGACCGCGATAGCGGTCGCGGGCAAGTTGCTGCAAGAGGCAACGTTAGCACTGACGCTCGTGTTGGGCGCCGCAGCGGCGTTGCTCAGCAGAGCCTTCAGATAGCCGCTGTGAGCCGCGAGGACTCCCTTGTGAGCGACGAACTGGTGTTCCCCTTCGTTCCCCACTCGGACAACAGTGTCAGGAGGCGACAGCGTCTCTTGAAGCCGGGAGTAACTGTCCCCAACTACGCTGTCGCCAAACCAGGCTCTGTACAGGCTGTACATCCTCTTAACCGATTAGCTCGGGTATCCTCGAAAAGACTTGGCGTTTTGATCAACGGTCGGGCATGGTCGAGTCATAGTCGCGCGGTAGAGGTCACGATGAAAGTTCACGTAAAAAAAGCACGAGCAAAGAAACTCCTCTTAGAAGCGTTATCCTGTTTCCCTCCAAATGGTCGCGGAAAAACTCGAGCCAGACGAGAAAGCAGTCGCTACGGACAGCTTCAACGCGGCGCGATTCGAATGTTAATGTCACGGTCGATCGATCGTCGCGATCTCTGCGAATAAACGTGATCGTATCTAGTCTCCCGATGATAGAAACTAGCGGTCGCGGGAGCAGCAGCAAGCGCGGAGCGCCGTGATCGAGCGTGATTTGAACGCTGGAACGTCGGCCGCGGGTCTCATCTGCGGCCACTACCGTGATGTCGCGGCCGAGCTTGTAGATTCGCTTGCTTTTTCAAGTGGTTCGGTTCTACCACCCTTCGGTCTTCCTCCTCCAGACGACGCGCATCAACCAGTCCCTGTGCAGCGCGCCCCAACCTCCGAACGCCAGAGAACCGCCCCCGACGAGTGCAGATTGGTTGTACCAGCTCAATTACGGCAGGGCCGCACGTGCGCCTGCTGCTCCTGTATTTGCAATCCATGTGCAGGATTCTCTTGCTCCTTCTTTCTCCGTCCTCTTCCCCTCTCGCTTTCTTCCTCTCTCTTCGTTCTCTCCCTTCCTAACCTCCCACCATTTCCGTCTCCCTCTTTCCCTCTCGTTGTCGCTCTTCTTGTCTCTATTCTATCTGCTTGTCTCTATGTGTTTCGCTATTACTAGAACTTTTTTCTCTTCTTCTTTCACTGATCCATCGATGGGACGGATTCTCGCGATCTTCGAATAAAACTGTGAAGAAATGCACATGACGCGGGAGGAATCGGAGGAATTATATGCATCGAAGTTTCTTTTATCGATTTTTTGCATTCTTTGTTTTATTTCTCTGCAATTGTAGCACGTGTCGGAACTATTGTACTCGTTTTCTGTGTTTTTATGTATTGCACACGGATCAACGCGTTGACTGTCATGGTAGTAGAAGTAAGGAACGCTGAAGTTTTCCGCGGCAGTCAGCGTGTTAACGGGATGTTGTCTGGTTCTTTCGTTTGGGGATATGGAGAAGTTACGTAACGAAATGATTGTGGTTTGCGAGTTTTGAAATTGCAGCTGTCCATGGTTTGTTCTTCATTGCGAACAGTTTTGGGATGTTTGCTTGAGAACCAGTGGTTTAACGTTTTTGAATAATCTGTTTGTGAATCTTGGAATTAAAATTAAAATCTTATTCTGTTATATAATATAATTTTTCTGATTGACTCTGATGTCGATACAAGTTTTTACAGAAATTATATTAACTTTTTATTTGCTTTAGAAAAAGGTAATCCCTGTTAGAATCAAATTTCACATTTCCCGCATTTTTAGATATGCTTTGATTCAATATTGCTCAGAAGAGCGTACATTCACAGTACAGTCAAGAGTATACATTTATTTGTATTATAACTTTTCGAGCATTACACAAACTTTTCCGTTTCGGTTACTCTTCCATTCTTCCAACAACACTTCGCTTGATTTCAGAAGAGAATAATAAGGTCGTAAAACGTATAAAGCACGTAAAAATACGTTGTTCATGTACCATTGGCCGTCAGCCGGGTTTTCGGAGTAGTAGTAAATAAATATTTAATTTTTGTTATGAATAAAAATATTCGTATTTGCAATAAAATCCTACAAATCCATATTCTATAAGTAAATGAAAAAAAGTAAGTTAATTTGAATAAAATGGTGTACGATGTGTTAACACAAGAACTATCGTACCTACTAATCACAATTCCTTTTTTGATTAATTAATACAAAGCGTCGAATATCTGAAATTATTTTTTAAAGTTTGCTTACATTATGTAGTGAATATTGACAGAAACTAAAAGATATTAAGATAAATTGATAAGTACTTTGAATGGTCCAAGATATCAACATAGGAAGCTATCAGAAACATCTGTAAAGGATTGTGAAATAAGTTCTTAACTTTAAAAATATAGCCTTATATCACCGAACGCGGAATAATTCGCCAGCCGTACTACGTATTATTTCGAATTTTATTACTATATACCATACCTTGCGTTTTGAAGTTCTACAATTAATTAGTAACAAAGGAGAATAGTAAACTTTTAAACCAGAATAAACGATGAATAAACTTGATAAATTAAGTATCTACGTGTAATCGGTAATACAGGTTCTCATCCCGGTAATACGGGTAGGACGTGCAATTAGAGCTCAAATGGGAACGAGTTAACCCTTTGCACTCGAGGGGCGTCTCTCAGTCACCACTTGATTTGCTACAGTACAATTATAAAGTTCGACATTTAAGCAGTCAATTGCGTTCGACGAGTATACACGTCATTTTAAAATTCACAATAATACTAATTCTTTCAACGATGGATTATTTATTTTTTCAGATAAATCTGTAATTTTTCTTGGTTTTGCTTTAGCTTTTCGTTAAAATATATTATAAGTGCATTTTCCCTGGATTTGACGAGTATGCGCTTTATTATTTGATTTTATTGCACGCACAATGAGAGATTTTCAAATTAAATTGCGTAGTTAACTGGTTAACAGGAATGTGGTTGACTGCATAGCTTCTATGGAATGTGATAATGTTGTTTGTAATGGTCCCTCACGATGAAGTTTTGCCTTATTAATGTACGGAATCTTATACTGGAACAATTTCTGGGGTGAACCACTGATTTGAAACCTCTCTCTTGCAATTCAACATAATATTGATCAAAATTTGTCATTTTATGAGAACAGTGGATATCACTTTAATTTGCCTAAAATGCACTGGTTTTTTCGTGTCAATTACTTTAGACGTATGCAAAACTATTTCCGCGCCATTTGTGTATTTCTGCGTAGCAACCATTTATTTAGAAATAAAAATATAAAAAGATCAAGATAATATTACTTTCGTTAATCCCACATTTTTTAAGAAACGTATATACGTAAGTTTTTTAAACGGTTATTAACATCCACCCGACTGCTTAAGTGTTAACCCTTCACATTCCTCAATAGTCCTCATTGTAAGCATTCATTATTTCCTAAATAAAATATCCATAATTTTAGTTGCAACAAACGTAAAAAAAACTTTCCATAAGTTAAAGGAACTATATTATTTCTAGGTCTCGTTTGTTAACCCTATCTGTACCGGGAAACTTACGATTTGTAGACTGAAATAATTTCTAAGTTATTAATTTTAAAAATTACCGATTTCTTTATGAATTCATTTATTAAACAGCGGTAGTTATTGTAAAACGATAATTGTCATGTACGGGGGTTTGACGAGGGAGTATACGAATAAAATATCACGCGAAACAATTGCTAGAAAGGCACGGTCCACAGTAAGGGTATTTCAAATTCAACCGTGGTCCTGAACGTGTCAATCTCGATCGGTAGAAATCAGTTACGTCGTTCCGCTGCATCGATGTGACTCGCCGACGCGTTCCGGCGAGAACCGCTCGACGAGAAAAAGCACGGAAGGAAAGCTCGATTTTTGTTGATTTAATTACTACCCGCGGACATTGTACGTTCACGGTATATCGTGCTTCTTTTTTTCAAATCGCGTATCGTCGTGTTCGTTTCGACCGCCATCACGATGCGATTCGTATCGGCGACTCGCGCGAGCTGCACCCCTACAAATTGTCGGACAAGTTAAATTTGCACGGTCGTCGTCGCGTCGCCGGTTTTAATCGAGAATGACGAGAATTCTCCGAACCCAGGAGAATAAATAAAGGAATTGTGGGTGTATGGAAAATTATTCAGCATGGGAAGTAAGAAGTCGTAACATGGAATGTTATACGATTATTGTCGAGCGCGAAGGGTTAACACTTGAGTAGTTGGGTGGCCGTTAATACCCATTTGAAAAACTTACGATTTGTTGTGGAGTGAAATAATTTCTAAGTTATTAATCCTAACTATTATCGATTTCTTTATGAATTCATTTGTTAGACAGTCGTAGTTATCATAAAACAATAATAGCCATATTAAAAATTATACAAAAATATTGATAAATATAACAATTATAGTAGAATTCATAGTTCACTTGCCCTTTCTGAAAACTTACAAAATATTGCTGGCCGTTAACGAAAATTCTCTCACCTCTAGCCGGTTACGTGTCAACATTTTCTGACTGCTTGTTGCACCTTCATTAACACGTTGACTGTTGTGTAGTTGTCTCTCTGATGATTGATGTTTGTAAATTGGTTGAAAATGATGACAATGAGACAGTTGATGTGATATTTAATTGAAAGCGAATAAACCTATTTTGTTAGGTAATAGCTAGATAATAATGTAAAAACTGTGAAAAGAAAGCATTAATAATTATTTCTAACACAATTTATCTGTGCTGCGAAGAAGTGTTATACGTATATGAAACGTCCAATACTTTCGTGGCAGTTAACACGTTAAAATTTTGTCGATATAGTAATGTTGATTTTTGGAGAGGGTACGTTGAAACACTAGCTTTGAACAGTTGTGAGCAATATTTATTATGCGAATATTTTACAATTATTAGAACCAAATTGAAATAAAAAATAGCTTGAATGACTTTGATCATTCATTGAAACTCTGATGCTTATTTTAATCAAGCGAATATTAGATTTATAATTCATTTTTTAATGAATAATTGCTTACTTCGAAGTCAATAATTACTTCGTTTTCTTTTCATATTCGGTTACATTTGTGACCAGTCTTCCTAATTTGGCTGTACTGTGTTTGTACATTGAAATCACACTGCAAATTCAAGAAATAATAGAAAAATTAGGCGTTTCCAAGCTGCAAACACTTGGTCGTAAAGGGGTAAAGGCTGCTGAATATCTTTACAAATATACCTGACCCTCCATTTACGCGGACTTTTTTCACCCGGTAAATTGGAACACTATTTACGCGGTAGTTTTTACGCGCGATCTCAAGTTATGCGATTTAAAGTTAG